GGAGGGGGTCAGGAGGATGTTGTGGTAGGGGTCGGCGAGGGCGCGTTCCGTGGCGGCGCGGGCGTGGGCTGTCAGGTCCAGGATGAAGGTGTTGGAGGTGTAGTAGAGCAACGAGGCCGTCGCATGGAGGAGGGGGTGAGAGAGGAAGAGATCGTGAGGGAAGGGGGTGAAAGGTGTCAGAGGGTTGAGGGGTATGAGATCTGGGGCGGTGGTGAGGTAGGAGATGATGTCCTCGCGAATCTCAGGGGGAAGGTCGAAGAACCGATCGAATTCGGGAGTGCCCATGGCGAGGTATCGGCAGGCAGCGTGACTGGCGCCCACGGCGCATGCTCGAGTACGGTAGGTAGCGAAGATGGGGATGATGCTCGTTGAACAGGTTGAACATGAACATGCCCACTAGCGATGGACCATGATACAGTGTGGCAAAATACCAGAACAGCCCGTACACAGTGCATGCGGCTGATGCGTGTCTTCAGTACCAGAAGTCAGATGGGCTGCTCTATGTGCCATGGCACTTCTGACGATATGGCGAATCGACGATATGGCGAATCGACGATATGGCGAATCGACGATATGGCGAATCGACAAGATGGCGAATCGAGTTCGCTTGTTAAGGATCAATGGTAAATAATGGCAGCATTACTATCAACAAGAGAACTCTACAGCGCCTGACCCATTTGCCACCCAAGGGACCATGATCTTACCCCGGCCTTGTTCAACGCCTTTCGCACCTTGCGTAGAAACAAAAAAAAACTATGCCTAGAATACCGTCAATGTGTTAACCAAACCGTTCTTGAGAACTTCAAACACGAGCCCTGGGAAACCATAAAGCGTCGTGGTCGAATCATCACCGCCGTCCAGCTTCTGCACGCCACCGTGGCCGCCGCTGTCTTCCCACCCACCGAGGAACTCGACGCTGCTTCCGGGGCTGTCGCCCCATCCACGGTTCAATACCATGCCCCGTTGCCTCTGCGCGCCATCTCCGCTTGGTAGTAGACCCTTCCACGCTTCGTGCAGCCTCTCTTCGATGTCCGTGAACCTGGCCTCCGAGTTGGCTGTTGTTGTACCAGCAGCGTCATCCTCGAGATAGCTAATCTCCCACCGACACCTCCGATGACGGTTGAACTCGTAGGAACCCGGCACGTTTCCGTGAAGCACCAGCTTTGTCGCCACGAGCCGGTCTGGGGACTCGGAGATTGCCGTGCTGCTCGGCGGCAGTGTCGTCGTGGCAGTGGTTGGGGGAGGCTGTGATGGCGGAGTAGGTGTCGAAACGAGGACATCAAACCCGAGATAGAAATAGTTGTAGAAACACTCGCCACCTACGCGGCCCACGGCATCGTCCTCAACAACCTCGTCGTTGGAGTCATCGGAGCCCGTGTGCGCTGACGACTGATCCGTGTCAGTCAGCTCGTCAGGGCGCGTAGTGTCCGTCCCGTTGGCGCGCGTGCGGCTGTGACTCGCGGTGCGGATCTTGTGAATGGTCATTCTCTGGTCGTTCTTGCGGTATGTCGCATTCGGGGGTCCCAGCTCGGCCACGAGCTCTTGAGGTGTCGTTTCGCCGAGCCTGACCCAGAAGGATGCGCCCGTCCACTTCCGAAACAGCTGGATCTTGCCGCCCCCATGGATCTTGACGAGTGATATCTCATCGGGTACCACGTCCTTCCCCCTTGGAAGAACAGGTACCGTCTTGATGCTGGGGAGGATCTCGCTCCAGATATTCTCTCGCGCCTGTGACCACGAGTCGCCGGCGAAGACAGCCATTGACGTCGCTATCTGGGCGGCGGAGGACGAGAGGAGAGAGACAACGTCCTTGTTGGGCGAGTAGGCCGACTGCGCGAGGCGGAAGGTGAAGGCCACGCCTGGGTACGACAGCACGTAGTTTCCCACGTCATCCGGCGAGTCAGCCGTCGGAGGAATGTACTCGCCGCCATAGGTCGGGCCCAGGAGCCGGTGGTAAATATGTCGAAACGTGGGTCCGGCACTCGATTCTCCGGGCATGGGCGACGAGGGCGGACCTTGCGCGTTCGCAGGTTTGACAAGATCACGATCCTTGAAGGTGATGTGGTTCTTCGTGAAGTCGATGATCTCGATCAGTCGCAGACGTTGCTCTGGTCCGTCAAAGCGCAAGCGCAGGCCGTTGGCAGGGAGGGTGAGAGATACAGGGTCCTCTATGGGACGTTCACGAGAGTAAGCGAGGTCGAGCTGCGGGAAGCGTTGGGGTTCGGCCTTGAGTCTGGTCAGGACATCGTGGAGCGAGGCGCCGAGGACTGACAGGGCGTGCTGATTAGCAGTGGAATGACGAAGAGCCAAGAGCAAGGTTGGCGCTGGTTGTGGGATAGCCTACTGAGGAACCCCAAGGCCCGGCCTGGGTGAAGCTGTGCGGCGAAGAGAGACATGGCTGGTCGATAGCGGGGAGTTGAGGTCAAGGGGGCCTACCAGAGGTCCTCAGCCAGGCGTGGGAAGGTAGGGCTAAGTCGGTGAAGAGCGCATTCGGATGTTGAAAGATAACCAAACTCGGAAGAGGAGGGTGGTTTGCTGTTGCGAGAAGCGAGAAGCGAGAAGCGAGAAGCTGATCGAGGCAGGGTGTTGTTGCGTATAGGTAGTCTACGCGTTGTTGACGGCCCTGGGCCTGGATGACGAGCGTCACGGGATGGATTTGGGGTACCTTAGAGGGGGAAGGTCCAGCTGATAAGATAGATGGGTGGTACCTGCTGCCCCTCAAGGCTCAAGGCTCAAGGGTACAGGTACAGGTTCAGACACAGTGCGGGGTGAGTCTACATGCGCCATCCGACCTGGACCTGCTGACCGACCCGGTTATTCAATTATAGAGTCTGTGTATCTGTCGAGAACACATACATACACTCGATGCACATGGGCGATGCGGTGTACTCTGATGCCTTGAGATGCCTCTTCAGTCTTCATCAGCTTCATCCAAAGCCCTACCGCAGCGCTCTTTCTACCTTGCATACACCATGTATTGGCGTTCTACTTCTCGTCCCCACTACTCTCGTCCTCATTGAGGCCTTCGTCACTATCCTCGTCCTCGATACCGATACTGCTGTCGCTCCTACTGTCGCTGTTGCTGCTGCGACTTGCGCGGCGATCTCTCCTCGTCGTCCTGACCTCGATATCCCCATCATCTGAAAACGATCCGGATGCATTATCGCCATGGTCCCCAAAGGGGGTGTTCGCCCCAGCTGCTTCCAGACTTTTCAACCTCTCATGCTCAAACTCGAATCCCTCTTCCTTGAACTCATGCTGTCCGTGGATCATCTCTTTGTATCGATAACATTTGAAGCAGATTTCAACAGGATACTCCGCGGGACACGATATGCAGCGCCATCGCTTTCCGCTCATGTCCTAGAATCAAACGCACGTCAGCTCACGACTCCAAGGCTGTCAGGGTTGGTCCCATGCCGAGGCACGACTCACCGACATGCAAGCAAAGCATTCGCCATGTAGCCAATTGCCCTCCTCAATCTGGTGAAACTCTTCGTCCCATTCTCGTTCAGGCTCGACAACTTCACTCTCTTGGGCTGCGCTGCCTGGCTGCAGCAGAGCTTGCACCTCTGCGTCCAGGCCATTGAACCTCGCTAGTCGCAGTGGGGACCACTGATGGTCCCAGCCGTCTCCTCGTGCCCATATATCTGCGCCCTTGGCGATCAAGAGGTTGATCCTTTCGACTGGGAATCGTCTGTTGGTACAAGCCCACATGAGAGGGGTCCATCCGTCTGCGTCGGGCGCGTTGACCAAAACACCCGGTTGATCGAGCAAGACTTTAAGCTGCTCGGGGTGCCCGCCGTGAGCAGCGTAGTGCACTGGTAACAAACCCATCTTGTCGGATGCCAAAACCGAGGCACCGCGTGATATGAGTGACCGCAGTGCCGACCCAAAATCTAGCCCTATGGCAGCCACATGTGTCGGACGTCGACCAATGCTATCCTCAACTTCAGTGTTGGCCCCATGCTCCAGCAAGTACTCGAAGGCGACGCCCGGCCTATGAGCTGCCGCCGTCAATGGCCACCCGAGTGGTCCACCATAGATGTTGACCGGCAACCCGAGCTCTTCCACGAAATACTCCAGCGTCTCCCGGGTCCCTGTCATGCTGCTACTCAAGTAGCGTGCTATCAGATACAGTATGGATGAACCGGTTTCACCGCTGAGCGCGTTGATATCTGCGCCAGCTTTCACGAGCGCTTTGAGCACTGGAAGGTCGCAGTTTCGGACAGCCTCGTGGAGAATCCCCTCGAAGCCTGGAGCGGTCAAGTTTGGCTGGGCCCCTTTCTTGATCAAGTACAAGACCGACTCGTCTGTGAAGGGACTTTTCACGGCCTTCGCGAGAGGGGTCAACCCGCCATTGTTGACAGCTTCGATGTCTGCCCCTCCCATGACTAATTTTCGAAGAACGTTGGCTGTTGCATGTAATTGGATAAGATGCAAGGCCGAATCACCCTGGCTGTCTTTGACATCCAGTTGGGGTCGAGATTCCAGCAATGCCTGCAAGCACGCCTCTTGCCTCAGACAGTGGTGCAAAGGCAGGTTGTCTGTACCGGCGCCATGGTTGGGGTCCGCCCCTTCGTCCAAGAGAGCTCGAATCATTTCCGGCGCATCATCTGATGACGACTGACACGCGCGGCATAGAGCCGTCATATGTTCGTCATCCTCAGCCTCGAGATTCGGTCGCGGTGACCGCTCGAGTACCGCTTTCAGAGTTCCCAAGTTATCCCACCTGACGGCTAGGAGCAAGGCCGTACTCGAGTCTGCCACACGATCTGGATCACCCCCTTTTGCGAGCAGCAGCCGCATGGCTTCTGGATTGTCATACGCAGCATGAACGGCGGTCCAATCCTGGCCGTCCAGCTGTGCGTTCGGATCCGCGCCCTTCTCGAGCAACATCTTGACGATCAGGACATGGCCGCGCCAGCTTGCCAAGTACAACGGGGGGTCGAGATCGCCCTCGTAGTGATTTGGATTAGCCCCGCGTTCCAGCAAAAGCTCCACAATATCTGTCAAACCTTGCCTTGCGGCGATGGTCAAAGGCGTATCTTTGGTGTCATCATCCCCGGTGCCTTTAAAGACAGCTTCAACCTCAGCCCCGTGATCCAGCAGCAGCTGAACGAGTTCCAATTTGCCCGTTTCAACGGCAACAGAGAGAGGCGAGGCAAATTCTGTCGCTGATACGTTTGCTACGGCCCCGTTCTCGAGCAGCATCTTACAAACGTCGATGTGGCCTCCTCTGGCTGCGAGGTACAACGCACAGCCACTGGGTCCGTAGGCGTTGGCATCGGCCCCTTTGGACAGAAGCAGGGCCACAATTTTGGCGTAATTATTCTGGGAGGCCTGTACGATGGGTTTCCAAGTTGTCGAATTGGCCTCTTTGTTGTCGGTCTGCCCATAGGAGTGGTCAGCCCCGTGTTCTAGCATGACTTCGACTGCCTTGAGCCGGCCCCAGTCCGTGGCGCCTTGCAGAGCTGTCACGCCGTTCTCGTCCTGTGCCTCGATTTCGGCGCCCTTTTCGATGAGAAGCCTGACAATCTCAGGGTCGCCGACTAGACAGGCTACCGTCAGGGGCCTGGCGCCTTTCTTCCCCACCGCCAGAATGTCAGCTTTGGCGTCAACAAGCACTTTGGTTGCCTCCAGGTGAGGGCCGGATAGAGCTACGGAAAGTGGCGACGGAAAGTACGGCTCCATGGTATGGGAGTCTTTGGGATCTGGACTCAGGCCCAACGCAAGGAGCCTTCGCAAGTGATCGTGCCTGCCGAGGTCACTGAGCTGGGATAGCAAGTTGTCGGGCCACTCCACTTTGGCGGCTTTACCGTCACGGGATGCGTATCCAATGAGAACTTCGACGACGGCGTCGCATCCGTCGCCGGCTGCAAATCGAAAGGCGTCTTTGAGTGCCCCTGGGCTCGGATCCCTTCTCTCGATGAGCAAAGCAACCACAGAACTGTGGTTGCTGGACGCCGCCTCGCTCAACGCGAGGTCGCAGTCCGCTGAGAACGTGGCCGAGTTCTTGTCCTCCTCGAGGCGTCGATCAAGAAGATCGTCAAGACCTGTCGACGCAATTTGGGGAATGGGGGAAAAGTAGTGTCGAAGCGGAAATCCGAACATCATACGACTGATGGCAGCCTCTCGCCAGGATCTTGATGCCTTTTCGTCGCCGAAGAAGGAGTATGCGTACTCTTTGGGAGCGTCCGAGCCGGCAAGACGGTAGTGGTCCAACCAGTACCGGGCTGCATAGGAAACAAAGTCGCGACGAGGCTCAAAAGCAACCCAGGACACTTTGGCGACATTGTCAGAGTGTTCTTCGATCAGAGGATGGACATCCGGCTGGAGCAGGTACTGTAAGCATAACTCTGCCATGGCACCGTGGGCTTTCGAGTCCATTTCTTGCGACAATGGTTCAAAGAGGGACCAGACGAAGATCTCTTGGCCTCTCAGCTCAAAAACGCCTGGGAAGTTGTGAAGCAGAGGGTCGATTATGCCTGCAACATCAGCGTCCGTGAGTGTCGCTCGAGGATGCGCCATGGCGGTCAGAGCAACGGCGGCTTCGTGGCTCGACAGTGGTCGCAGTGTGTGTCGAAGAAGAGTGACGAGCCTATGCGCCTGGGATTGGATCTCCTGGTCGACAAAGTCAAGCATGCTCCGAAAAACTTCATCAGGGCCAAGCGACTTTGGCCTGGCGACAAGCGCCTCGACTGTGGCCATTGTGGCGTGTTGGCTCTTGCGGAAGAGCCAGTCGAGAACAGCACAGGCGGGTTTTGTGGTCTCGCCCTTGTGTTGGCAGACCAGAGCCTTGAGTTCTTCTTTGATGTGGTGGAGCACTGGCCTGTCATCCAGCACCCTTAGAATCCGGGAGCTCATGGCTGGGACCGGCACGCCATCGTCAACCTCTGAAGGGAGGGTTCCCTCGCCCGCTGCAGGGTCATCATCTGCTGCTGGAGGTTCCGAGGTGTTCTGGTCGGCAGCTGGAGCTTCGGCATCGTCAACCTCTGAGGGGAGGGTTTCCTCGCCCGCTACAGGGTCATCGTCTGTTGCTGGAGGTTCCGAGGGGTTCTGAGGAATCTTGATGAGAATATCGCCCTCCGCTCTTGATACCTGGTCGGCAGCTGGAGCTTCGGCATCATCCTTCTTTGATTCTGCATCAGGATGGATATCTGGCCCATCGACAACCGTATCGCCGCCCTTCTGGGTATTCCCGTCGCCGACGACAGATCCCGCAACGGCGGCGTCTGGCTCTGGTACTGGGCTGACCCCTCGCACGCCGACACTTGCCTGCGAGTTGGAACTCGGACTGCGCGGACGCCACGTTGCCGCGTCTGCGGCGTTGATCCTCCAGATACCGCCAGACGGCACCTCCTCCGCCTTGAGAAAGTCCGCATCGCTACTGTCGAACAGCCACTTGTCACGGCTTTCCTTGAGGCTGCCCAGTCTGATCAACTCTCTCAAAAACCAGTTGCGGGACTCCTCCTCGCACTGGTCGAAACAGCCAACGCAAAACGTGATCTTCTCCGTGTTGTAGTTGTCTCGCAGCCCCATAAAGCCCTGAAAGATGTCGACCAGGTCGCTCACATTGACATTCCTGTCAAAGTCTTCCATCCCCTCCGCGGCGCTGCCGACGTCAAAGCTGAAGCGCGAAATGATCATGGTGAGAAATGTTATGAGCATGGCCTTGATGTCCCTGTAACGCGCATCGGTCTTATCGAAACGGAAGTAGCATACCCAGTTCTCTCCTTTGGATGGATGATCCTTGAGGTACGTGTATAAGCAGGTGAAGATGGCCTGCGACATGCCGACGGCTCGTGAAGCGCCGATGGCCTGCGAGGCGCTATTGTCTGCCTCTTCGACTTGATGATGCACGTGCATTATGCTGAGACCTCGATTGCTTGCCAACCACTCGTTGCACATGTCATGGTCGATGAACCACGAATACAAGTCCTCGTGATAATCCCTCCCCGAGTACGGATAAATCGGAGGAGTTGATGAAAGGAGCCTCTTACTGGGTCTTGCTATGCTATCATTGATGTTTGTATCTGGCAATTGGTAAGTATGCCAGCAACAGTCTGCGGCAAGGAGGGATTGGGCGGGGACACAACTTACAAAAGGGGAGTTCATTGATCACCCGCTTGATTTCTAAGGGCCAGTCCGAGTCTCCTTTTGCTGGCTTGCGGGTGATGTTCTTATGCGATCTGTAGGTGTGGCAGCAAAACTCAAACGGCGTCTCGAAGACGGCCGTGAATCTGTTGAACGGGAAGGGCGAGCCAGTCTGCGAGCCTGGTCAGAGCATATTACGCAGTCTGTAATGGCACAGGCGCTTACGTTTTCATTCTCAGTCGCCAAGTCGCGGTTGTAGCGACAGTACACGCTGAAGATGCTCGCGCGGAGCAGCATGTTGGTGTCGAGAAACTCGGCGTTGACCGTCCTGATATCGCGTGCCAATTGCGACGCCTTGCGCACCAGGCCCGGGATCGTTGTGTCCGTGCTGATTAGGTCGATCAGCTCATCCTCTAGTCGCTCCAGCTCTCTGATGCGGTTGGGGACTGATAGGAAGATCAGGGTGGACGTCTCCCAGGGAATGTTGCCGTATTTGGCGGCATTTGAGGCTGCGATGACAAGAGCTTTCTTGACGATGAGGCCGCCGATATCATGGCCTATGAAGACGATTGGACGGGACTTCTAGTAAAACATTTGTGTAAGGCATAATCTCCCAACGGGTGCTTCACCCGGGTCCTCACTTACCTCTGTGTCGAGGCCTTTCCTCGCCTCCACCAATTCATCCACCAATTTCTGTGCTTCCTCGTTGATGCCGTCAGGGAAGTAAATGTGAGTTGACTCCCAGTTGGTTTCGTACCAGTAGTACAGTTCCCGGATTGTCCAGTAACCAAACAGGTCATCTTTGATCAGAGTCTTGTTCCACGTGTTCCAGGACTCCCCTTCATCACACCATGTGGTTGACTTGCTCCCATGGAGGCCATGCACGAGAACAACGCTGCGACGACGTTAGCTCAGCCCATACGAACAAGAGGTAAGAGACAGCGACGAACTCAAAGTCTACTCCGTCTTTTAGAACGCCGCGATCCCCGTCCACGAGGCCAAAATCAGGCTCATCATACGGCACATATTCAATAGGTGCAATCTGGTCTGCTGGAGAATGCGTTCTCACGCTCTCCGGCGGCGGCGGCGGCGGCGTAGTGGTCCCAGCTTTCCCATCGCCGGCCTCGTCGACGCCTTTGTCTTTGGCTTTCTCGCCAGATTTGCTGTCGTCCATGGCGTCGCGGCTTCGAGTTGACCCCGCATCTGACCTGTCGTCTGCATGACTACCAAGCTCATCGTCCGAGTTGCTTCTCTGAGAGGCGGCATCGCCGTTGGGTTCATCGTCTTCGTCCTCGTCCTCATCATCGTTCGCAGACGAGCCTTCGTCCTCCGACTCAATGACCTGCGACATCTTGCCTCTGCGTCGCTCAGTTCCGCCGCTCTCATGACTGCTGGATCGCGAGCTTTTTGGTGATGTCGCCCGCCCCATCGTTGCTGTGTGTGGTTGTGCTCAGGCTTGTTGGCCCTACAGTGTGGCACGCGGCTGTCCCATCTGAAGCAGCGAGATGAGTCGCACGTAAGGCTAGATGACTTTGCAGGTGATCACGAGCTGAACTGGGTAAGCTGTCTGGCCATTGCGAGTCCAGGCCGAAGCCAGTCAGCCAGATGCGCAGGCAGGGTACACTGCAGGAAATGCAGCTGACAATTAGCCCCGCGAGCCAGCAGATGAGGGCTGACGAAGATCCCTCGGTGGG